CGAAATCATATTGAGCCTGAGCTTAAGGTAGAGCTTTAGTCCACGTCCTAAGCCCTGAACCTCGCGTCCCAAGTTTTGAGCCCTAAGCCCTAAACCCTAAACCCCTAAACCGCTAAACCCTAAACCCCTAAAACCCCTAAACCCCGGAACCCTAAACACTAAACCCTAAATCCTGAACCCTAAACCCTTAAACCCTTGTTTCAGCTCAATAGACGAAAATGGAAGGCTGCGGAGTTCGCTAGTGCTCCAGAGATGAAGGTTCAGCTCAAGGACTTGGGTTTAGGGTTTGGGGGTTTAGGGCTGACCTTAAGAACCCAAAACATTTTTTTGTAGGTTCTTATTATAAACCCTAATATGGGATTTATAGGGACCCTACAAAAAAGTAGGTTTTGGGTTCTTAAGGTAGGGTTTAGGGTTTACGGTTTAGGTGTGTCGGGTTTAGGTTTAGGCTTCAGGGACTTGGCATTCAAGCTAAGGTTCAAGTCCAAACTGGTTTCGTAACAGTGGACCCGTACACCTTAAAAAACCCTAAACCCAAACCCCTACCTTAAGAACCCAAAACCCAACTTTTTGTAGGTTCTTATTATACACCCTAGTATGGGATTTATAGGGACCCTACAAAAAAGTAGGTTTTGGGTTCTTAAGGTACACCTTAAACCCCGAACCTGCATCCTAAACGCCAAACCTTACGCCTGAAACTCCCTCCCTGAAGCCTCTCAGCCCGTTCATGAGACGTTTCCCAGGTGGGGCTTCTGTTGACTCCTGGCCCAAACAATCCAAAACCCTTGAATGAAGGAATGGACCTTAAATCAGAATATGAATAAGGATCCCACTGTGATTCGCGGCATGTTGCCTCATTAAGGGGCTTTGGCCTGGAGTCCCACTTATCATAATCAATACCCCAGAGCTTTAACACATTCAGGGTACAAAGCCTCCAGCAGTGTCAGCTGCGGAAGGAGGCGGCGATGTGGTTCATGAGCGTGAACGAGTTCGAAAATACAGACCTTGCGAAGCTTGCAGAACATGCGCGGCTACGGCCTAGAGGGTTTCGCAGCAAAAGGCTTTGAGGTTTTCGGCCTGGGATGAGGCATATGATACAATAACTATACTATATTACACTTATTACATATCATATTTTATCCTATTCTATTCCACTTTTACTGATATGTATGTTAACAACTCTATCTGAATTATAAAGATCGTATGACATAGTATATTGTATTGTATTGTACTGTGCTGTATTATACTATGCTATACTATGTTATACTGTGCTGTACAATATTACGGTACATTCTACTTTAGGTATTATATTCTACATTACATTACATTACATGAAGTTGCATGACATGACATTACATTCTGTTAGGACATATTATGCTATACCGTGTTGCACTATACTCCGCTGCATTAGGTTATGCTATATGATATGGGATTATATCAGATGGTGTCATATCACATGCTAGGATACCGTGTCATAACATTATGGTAAAACGATGTATTACACTACATTTTATCATACCTTATGCATACCGTAGTATACTACATTATCGTATACTACTTATACTACGTCATGTATATGAACTACACTGTGTTGTTGAGTCATATTACGTAAGTTGAATATTGCCATATTATACTATATCATGTCGTCTTATAATATATTCTCGTATCTTATGTCATATCATACTTTTCTATTCCTGTATATTTGCACTATATAAGCATATTGTCAAGTTATAACATACTATGCTACACATTAACATGCTATATTGTTCTATATTACCGTATATTGTAGCACAGTGTATGATACGATAGCGTACTGTAGTATGTTTTATGAAGTTTCTATATGAAATGCAGCAAAGCGGCCTGCCTCAAGAATCATGCGCGTGTAACATGAGAATTTCACAGGTACAGGGCTCAAACAAAATGGGCTCCTTGTTGGCACGTAGGGATCCTCAAAACCCTAAACCCAAACCCTCAAACCCAAACCCCCTCAACCCCTAAACCCGAACCCCCCCAAACCCGAAACCCTTTAAACGGCGAGGTCTCCTAAAACCTTGCGAAACCCTGTGGAGCACTACGACACTCCATCAACCCTCCCCCACCCTAAACCCCAAAAACACCTATGAAGCATTGCTTTCAAGACCTTTGCAAACAGAGCTTACAAGACCCTGGTCCCGACAGGGCGGTAACAACCCTTACGCAAAACTATAGATGGCAAGTGGCCATACGGGCATTAACAACCAAAGTAAGGTTTTGGGTGTGTTATGGTAGGACTGCATTAACTATATGAAAGAACCCTGAACACGAATATAAAGATTTTCTATATGAAGGAACCCTGAAGACTTATACAGCTAGCTTAGGTCCTAGACTCCCAAGACCCTAACCCCATACCCTGAACCCTAAACCCTAAACTCCACAAACCCTAAGCCCTAAATCCTAAACCGTGAACCCTAAACCCCAAACCCTAAACCCTAAACCCCAAACCCTAAACCCTAAACCCTAAACCCTAAACCCTAAACCCTCAACCCAAGACTGTCCCAAACGACCCCGGCGCCCACCTCTAGGAGCTCCTGGGCTCTTTGTTTCAGCTCTCCGACCTGGCTTGTGGCCTAAACAAAGAAGGTAAGGGTTTTGGGTTTAGGGTTTAGGGTTTAGGGTTTAGGGTTTAGGGTTTAGGGTTTAGGGTTGAGGGTTTAGGGTTTAGGATTTAGGGTTGAGGGTTTAGGGTTTAGGGTTTGGGGTTTTAGGTTGAGGGTTGAGGGTTGAGGGTTTAGGGTTTAGGGTTTAGGGTTGAGGGTTTAGGGTTTAGGGTTTGGGGTTTGGGGTTTAGGGTTTAGGGCTTGTGGAGTTTAGGGTTGAGGTTTGAGGGTTTAGGGTTGAGGGTTGAGGGTTTAGGGTTGACGGTTTAGGGTTGAGGTTTTAGGGTTTAGGGTTGAGGGCTTTGGGTTGAGGGTTGAGGGTTTAGGGTTGAGGTTTAGGGTTGAAGGTTTAGGGTTGAGGGTTAAGGGTTGAGGCATTAGGGTTTAGGGTTTAGGCTGTTCTTTCTTTGAGGGAGGACTCAGGATTTAGGATTTGGGGTCTAGGGTTGAGGGATAAGGGTTACGGGTTAAGGTGCAAAAGCAAAGAGTTGATTGTTCAGTAAAGGCCCTTAAGCCTACTCGATTTTTCAATTGACGGCTCCGTATTGTTCGGGGTCCCTAAATTCGGCTCACTGTTCAGGGAATGTTGATAATAAGCGCCCTGGCCCCATTGTTTCTGTGAAATTCCCACCCGACACCCCAAACCCTAAACCCCAAACCCTAAACCCCAAACCCTAAACCCCTGAACCCCAAACCCCCAACCCCAAACCCTAAACCCTAAACCCTAAACCCTAAACTCCAAGCCCTGAACCCTAAACCTAAAACCCTGAATCCTAGAAACTCCCGCCTGGCTGCTCGCCGCCAACTCCACCGTCACCCCCCGGCCGGAGAGCAAGGTCACCCGGATCCGCATGGACATGGTGCGGTTTGGGGCTGAGGGTTTAGGGTTTTTTTTGTTAAAGGGGTTTAGGGTTTAGGGGTTCGGGTTTAGGGTGTGGGTTTGGGGCTTTGGAAGCACCGGTTTCTATGGCCTTTCACCCGTTGATCTCAAATATGAGCATACGCCCGTAGAATTTAACGCTACCCTTCTTTATGAACGTGCTTGGACATCCCCACGAAAACAACGCGTCAGTCGCGGCAGGCCCGACAGGGCTTGAGACGTACGAAGGCTGCGGGTACACGGTCCCCAGGCTGCGGAGCAGGAACTCTGGCAGCTGCTGCCACGTGCGTTTCCTATTTTGGTTACGGAGACACCCGAAACAGCCTTTGTTTTGAGCTCTCCCTAACCCTCCAGGTACCTACTATAGAGGGTCCTCGAGCCCCTAGGGCCGTATATAGTAGGCAGCTGGAGGGTTAGGGTCTTTTCCGTTCTGATCGGGGTCCAGAAAGCAATTAACACCTCTGTTCGTTCAGACAGGGGCTCCCTAAACCCTAAACCCTAAACCCTAAGCTCAGGGTTCAGGCTCTTGGGTTCTTAACATCGTAGCGGTAAAACTGCTGTTCAAAGAGCACTGTGCCTCAAAGGAGGCCTGAATCCAAAAAATCCCGCACCCTGAAAACAAAAAGGCCTAAACCATCCTAAACCTTAAACCCTAAACCCCACACCCTAAAACCTAAAACCCCAAACTCTAAACCCTAAACCCTAAACCCTAAACCCCAAACCCCAAATCCCACACTAAACCCTCAGCCCTCCCTCTGCAACAGCTCCCCGAACCTTTGGTCCCGTCCATCTCCGGGCAGCTCTCTCACCGACAGGGCCTCCCCGGTTCAGGGGCTTCGGGCTTGGGGAGTTTAGGGTTTAGGGTTTAGGGCTGAGGGTTTGGGGTTTAGGGTTTAGGGTTTAGGGTTTAGGGTTTAGGGTTTAGGGTTTAGGGCTGAGGGTTTGAGTACATAGTTTTTTTGGGGTGGGTTTTGAGGTTTTTCGTGCTTGGGAATCATCATGCAGTTGGGAGCTTATGTTTCAGAGTTTGGGAACTCGGGGTCCAGGTTAAGCATGCCTACTAATTCCTACCAGGAGCGCAAAATCGTTCAGGCCCTCGGCCAAAAAACCCAAAGTTTCAACAGTAACTTACAAGCCCAAACACTACAAATACTACTGTACATGGTATGGTGAGTCAATCAAAAACTCCTTCAGCGCTGATCCGAGACGGCATTCTAAAACAAAACCCTAAACCTTAAACCCCACACCCTACACCCTAAACCCTAAACCCTCAACCCTGAAACAAAATCACGGATTGAGGGCCAGCGTTCAGGGGCTGAGGGCTTGGGGCAGAAAGTTTCGGGTTTCTGAATGGCCCGACTATGGGGATCTTATTAAGTAGAATAGGTTTTTGGAATTGAATATATTGTACTATAGCTCTAATAAAAATCCCAAACTAATACTGTGAATGTTGGTTCTGTTTGGCACCAAAATTTACCCCAATCCAAACCGAACCCCCACCCAGACGACTCACGTGCCCGACGCAACCAATAAACCGTTTAGGGTTTGGAGCCCTAAACGGAAACCTTAAGCCCTACGGTTGATGATGTAGACCCTGCAGTACCCATAATATGCAATATACCGTAATTCCCATAGTTTAGGGTCCTAAACCCTAAACCCTAAACCTTAAGACCTAAGCCCTAAACCCTAAACCCTAAACCCTAAACCCAAAGCCCTAAAGGTAATGTGGGATTTATAACATGAACCGTATGCCCCTTTTGCCACTGGGCCGCCTGGAGCATCTCGGGGCCCTCTCGCGGACGGAAGCTTCGGCGTGTGCGCTCCACCTCCGGACAGTCTTCTCCATGCATTAGCAGATATAAATATAATATATATATATATATATACATATATTTTATTTATTTATTTATTTATCTGTCTATACTTTTCCATTTATGTATATATGCATATATGTACATAGGTGTCTGCATATGTATATGTACATATGCGTATGCATGTGTGTGTATATGTATATGTATGTGGGTAGATATATACACATGCATATACATCATGTACATAGACCTGTTTATGTACATGTACATATACATATGCGTATACATGTACATATACATATGCAAATATGTATGCGTATACATATATATATATATATAAGTTATTAACAAGCAGAATAAAATAGACCATAATATGTTGCATATCGTATACTATAAGGTTATGGTATAATACACTAAACTGTACCAGAGCGGAATACAAACTAATTAAACTAATATTAACTTTCTCATGTAAAATAATAACCTTAAGTAATATTAGTTGACTGTCTACTAAGATATTAGCCATATGAGTTCTTCATAATCTTGATATAGTATGCACATAGTCATATAGCAATACTTGTCCTTTTGCAAAACATTAGACCAACTTGCAACATATTTTGCAGCATAAACCAAACCGGAATTTACTGCTGCTTCAAAGTTTGTATAATCTCAATACACATATCATATTGAATGAATATCAAAGAAATATTAGTACAAATATCAATACGGTATGCCAGGCACCCTTCCGCCCCCCACACCTCCCCGAGCACCCTGCAGCCCCCCGCACCCCCCTGCACCCCACCCACCCCGCCCAGGCCAAAAACAAAAACAGCAAAACCGGAAACAGAGAAGTAGCTGAGTAGCCCGTCTTCCGGCTCCAAAAGCAAACCCTGCATCCGAGACTTTGTACTGTTATGGCAAGGCCTAACGGAGCCAGAATTACTAGGACTATTCTAGCGGCCCTCTTGTACCCTCAATGACAACCTACCATTAAATCCCCTGATCTGTCAAGCCAACGGAACCAAAAAACCGTAAAAAGGTCGGATGTTTGTGACCCTAAACCCTAAACCCTAAACCCTAAACCCTAAACCCTAAGATGTTTGCGCCCTACCTCCAAGTCGATCAGCTTGAGCTGTTCCGAGGTCTTCTCCCGCAGCTGTGTGCCTTATACTTCTCAGCTTGCAGCCCGGCTTGTCAGACTTAGGGTTTAGGGTTTAGGGTTTTTGGTTTAGGGTTTAAGGTTTAGGGTTTAGGGTTTAGGGTTTAGGGTTTAGGGTTGTCAGACTTAAGATAATTGAGAGGTTAGCGTTTAGAGTTCAGGGTTCGAGGCGCGAGGAGGTCTAAGGCAATTATATCTGTGGATTATCATCCCTTTCTCCGAAAACCCTAAACCCAAGCCCCTAAACCCTAAACCCTAGTCAGCCTGCCCTTCGGCCCCCGAGGAAATTCGGATCTGGAGTACGAAGCGGTTAGCCTATGATCTGATCCTTGGTTCGGGGATTTAGGGATTTAGGGTTTGGGTTTAGGGGTTAGGGATTCAGGTTCAAGGGAGCTTAAGGTTAAGCACTTCGGGGTTTGAGCTTAGGGAGTTTAGGGCTTAGGGCTTCGGGGGCTTGGAGCTTAGGAAGCTCAGGGCTCAGGGATTCGGGCAGCTGCGTTTAGGGTTTAGGGCCTAGGGCCTAGGGCCGCTGTGTGCAGCAAACCCAAACCCCCCAAAAGGATCTAATAAATAGATCCCCTAAAGGGGGCTCCTATAAAGTACCCTTTAGTAGGTAGGGTCCCTAACTAGGGGATCTATTTTTTAGATCCTTTTGGGGGTCTGGGACAGCTACCCCGAAGGGTTTAGGGTTTAGGGTTTAGGGTTTAGGGTTTAGGGTTTAGGGTTTAGGGTTCAGGGTTTAGGGTCGGAAAGGGGAAACTGGGAATTGCACAAAGCTAGAAGCCTCATGTGCACCAGCGTCACTCGGTTTTGGGTTTTTGTTTTTTTTGGGGGGGGGTTTAGGGTTTAGGGTTTAGGGTTTAGGGTCTAGGGTTTAGGGTTTAGGGCTTCGTGTTGCATGTACGTAATTCACGAAATAGGACTGCCGGGTCGAGACTCCCTTGAGACCTCTTGTGTGTGGGCCCGGGCCAAGATAGAAGGCAAGCACATCCCAATATGCCTTATATAATTAAAGCCTCTATGTATAGCTGTATGTATATGTGTGTATATGTATATATGGATACACACACGCCAGAGTTTTACAGGGTTTGGGCCGGATCCAATGATGCGGGGAGTTGTATTTTGATTTAGGGCATATCCTCAAATAAGGCTACTCTGCTCTCTGGGTAGAATGGGGTGTGTGCATGTTTAGGGTTTAGGGTTTCGGGTTTAGGGTTTAGGGTTCAGGGTTTAGGGTTTAGGGTTTAGGGTTTAGGGCTAGGGTTTTCTGACAGTGCCACGTGGCTTTTGTCGGGTCGCGCAGGGGTTGAATGCAGGGTCCTAGCTATTGGAATTGGGTTTTACACGAAATTCTTGTAAGGGTTCTAGGGTTTAGGGTGTCAGGGCTTAGGGTCTAGGGATCTTGATTACTTCACTGTGGTTTTGGGGTATGGTATGGTAGAATATGAAACAGAATATTTACAAACGAACTACCCTGCAAGAGCTTGTACTTCATGTAAGCTTTGTAGACGAAGGATGCGAATTGGGCCGTGCTACCTTTAGGTCGTTGGATCGGACCCCGAAACCTGCGGAATCAGCTTTTTTAATGGCCGACATCACATTGAAATGGTTGCGTTCCGACGCTTTCATACCTGTGAGGGCGTATCCACTGCAGTAATAAGGGCTACGGCTCAAAAGAGGCTACGGCGCGAGCGTGCTCCCAGGGAAGAGACAAACACAGGGATCGCTTCCAGCCCGCAGCGTTTCGCACATTGTAACAGGATGCCAAGAAACAACTGTGAGTATGCATATTATGTAATGGCATAAGATGCTGAGGTTGTTGCCCTGTTGCCACTGCCAGCACCCATATACCGAACAGCCTCTGCACATACGTTTTTCAAATTGCCGCTGAAGAACTAAACCCTAAACCCTAAACCCTAAACCCTAAACCTTAAGCCTTTGCTTGCAGAGGCTGTCTGGGTGCAGGACAAAATCGCGGCATGAGCGCACGGAAACTCGATGGCCCGTCAAATACAAAACTGCTTTCTCTCTTGCATGCCCCGTCGTGACCGTTGCAGTGGCATCCTTGAAAAGTAGAAGCGCGAATATGCAACAACATACATAGCATGGCATGATCGCAAGAAGTTCTGTTGCCCAAAAGACACGAAGGTATGCAGCGATCTGGCGATACCCTGACATTAGGTGGTGCGAAAACTCGAAATCCTGAAAACTAGACCTCATGCTTCAGAAATATAGTGGGATGACCATTTCTTCACCTTACTCACGAGTTCTGCTTTCCTGGTCCATGCATACATTTGCATAAACATAGCATGATGTGCCTCACTACAGCTCAATCCCTAAACCCTGAACCCTAAGCCACGATTTGGCCTATATGATCCTAGGGCTGGATGGGGCTCTTCGTTCAGAATAACACTCCTTAGGACTTGAAGCCTGTTGCAGTCCAGCAAGTTTGCCTGCAAAATCCCTACATGTCGTATCTTTTCTTACAATTCGCTTAACATGAATGTACCTCTTCAACACGTGTATATTTCTTTATGTACATATATATATATATGTGTGTGTGTGTGTGTAACGTGTGTGTGTGCGCACGACTAGTTAGATCTCCGTGTGTGTATATATATATATATCTATCTATCTATCTATCTATCTATCTATCTATAAACATACACCTGTGACATGTGCATACATATATATATATATACATACATGTACATATACCAGTATATACATACATGTAACATATATACATATACGTATACATATATATATATATACATATATATATATACATATACACAGACAAAAACATAGACATATACGTATAAAGAATATGTGTGTGTATGTACATATACATGTATATTTTCTGTCGATATGAGCACTCTTGCAATAACCCTAAACCCTAAACCGCTAATCCTCTGCATGGCCACAGCTTCTTGGGGGCTCATCGCGGCAAGCACAGCGGCAGCAGCGAGCTGAGCACACCGAAGGCCTTGACCTCAGGCTTTGGGTTTAGGGAGGGTTTAGGGTTTAGGGTTTTGGGTTTAGGGTTTAGGGTTTACCCTAGCCCCTAAACCCTAAACCCTCTAAACCCTGCACCCTCAAAGCCTGAACCCGAGCTGCTAAACCCTTCGCTCTAAATCCGCTAGACCCTTTCAAGGTTTAGGGTTTTGCAATCAGAACAAGCTTGCTAAGGTAGTAGAGTTAGACAGAAGTTAGCGTTACCAATGACATTCTGTAGGTTCCACGGCTTCGAAGCAAGACCTGTCTAGGGCTAAGGGACTTCGCATGCTTTGAGGAAACTTGAAGGTTTTCTACGGGTTCAGATGCTGGTGGACGGGTTTCTCGAAGACTGTTGCAGACTAGGGCGACGGTGCGGGTGACCGCTGGTGTACAACAGGTGTAAGTGTGCGGACTGTCTGGGCTGAAGTACCAGAAACCGCACAAGCCTTCGACAAGCCTTGCCTGCGGCCGCACTGCTCTCGCAATGAGTTCAGACGAGGGGCATCGAAGGTGTGATCGCCGTCAGGGAGTGTGTCGGGCGTCAGGTGCACCTGGCAAGATACACTTGCAAGTCACGGCCAGTGTGGTACAGATGAAGTAGCCGATTGTCGAAGCACTGCCGCCCCTGGTCTTGGTGCACAATATGCTTCGTGAGGGCTTCGGATGCCTCTGATGCATGGGCGAACCACCTCACCATGAGTCATACATGAGTCGATCTTACCCTAAACTGCTTTTACCTAATTACCGCTGCGTGGAATGACAAGGGCTTGGGCTGCAGAGAACTACACAGCATGACTCCATCACATTGCAGTTACATTTACTCACTGTGGTGTTGCACCAACTCAAGGCTTCTAAACCCTAAACCATAAACCCTGAACCCTAAACCCTAAACTCATAAAAATCTCTGAACCCAAAGTCCCAAACCACCCACAACACACCAGAGCATAAACCTTGAATACTGCCCCCATAAAGTAACAGCATAGTATAAGGTTGCTAATAAGGGCATTATATGGCTTCATTATAAGTACTATTCAACTGTTACTGAGTGGGGGCAGTATCCAACATAAAACCTACAATCCTAAACCCAAACCCTCAATCCCAAACATCCTCAAGCCCTCTCCTCAACCCGATAAACAGCTTCTAGAAAGCCAAATTCGTCACAACCTCAACCCTTAAAACCCTGACCTAAGCTTCAAGAAACCCGATTTAAACCCTTATGAAGCTCTTGCTTTGGCTCCCCTGTACAGAAATCAAGCCACAAAGACGAAGTTTACCTGGACCCTGAAGAACCTACCGTTTTAAGGACTTATATAAGGAAATCATAATAAGGAAATCCAAAAAAAGGTAGGTTCTTCAGGGTCCAGGTGGGATTTAGGGACCCCCAAAAAAAGCCAAAGCCGTGCGGGGCCTCCGGGGCCTTGCGAAGGGCCTGGGCCAAAAGCTGCCTGTAGGAGCCTAGCAAGTCCAAAAAGGCTGTTTGATTTGGAGCTTAGAGGGCTTAGGGTTATCTTTTTGAAGGCCTTTTTCCATAGAGGGTTTAGGGTTTAGGGTTGAGGGTTTGGGGATTAGGGTGTAGAGTTTGGGGTTTAGGGTTTGGGGTTTAGGGTGCAGCAGTTGAGGGTTGAGGGTCTGGGGTTTGCTAAAGAGACGTGGATCCCTTCATTGATGAAAAATGTGGGGCATTCCAGGGTTGAGAAAAACTCTTCTGCTGCCTTGTAAGGTTGTGAGAGGGCTTCTAGGCACGGTTTAGACTTTAGGGTTCAGGGGTTCAGGGTTTAGTGTTTCGGGTTTAGGCTTTATGTTATGTGGTTGTGATAGCGCGTACAGGGTAGAAAACCAACGTTATGACAGCTTCATACCGCGAGTTTGCAATACATCCGTCAAATAAGGGGTATTGGGTTCACTGGGTGGTTTACCCACAAGCAATTGGCTTCAGTAGCTGGTGAAAAGCTTACTGGGGCAGCGGGCTTTAGGTAAGTCTACTGGGGATTGTACTCAACCCTAAACCCTAAACCCTAAACCCTAAAACCCTAATCCGTCGGTGTGTTGATATGAAAGGCTGCAGCTTGTGACCCTTCTCAAAGACGTGCCGAGTGGACGGTACGAGCCTTAGGATGGCATGTAGTAACACAGCATGCAGCCACGTCCCGCGATTCGGGTACTATAGTAGCCTAGGTCATTCCCAATACGATCCCTTAGGGTGGCCATTTGGAGGCATGTTTCATGCAGGGTTTAGGGTTTAGGGTTTAGGGATACAGATGCTAAAACTAGCAATTGTGAGCAATACGAGTGGTAGTGCTCGTGGTGCTAACAATAATGACCCTAGCAGCACCAGCAATCATTGCAATTGCCTGCGCCGACAAACACAATATACGGGCTTTAAGAATTAGAATAGGGTTTGGGGGCCCATTATACTATAATTAGAATAAGGACCCCCNNTACTTATTTAGGCCCCTATATTATGCAAGAATGGTCATGATCATAGCGAGACCAAGTCCCTTCAGGGAGGCTGCTGCAAATGCATACCGCGATATACGGCCTGAATACTATTTTTGGTGGTTCGTAATTATAACTATAGAACAATATACCCCAAAACTCTATTCTAATCATTAAGGCCCCCTTGTTAAATGAGTTCTGAGGCATAAGGCATCACAAGGCTAGGGAGAGTTTATGCCGGGCGGGGGTGCCCAAATCTTCGAAGCCGAAACCATCCATCAGCTCCCCTCACACTCAATGCGCCGCCGTCATTTAGGAGGCCTCGGTAATTATGTAAAGGGATCTGATTGCAAATCCTTCAAGCCCTCATATCACCCCCAGCTGTCCCACTTTGAGCGTCATCTACGCAGGAGGCCTGGGGTGGACTTGTTGCGGTTGCCCCAGACGAGGAACATCTTCACCTCGAAGTTTGTGGACCCTAAACCCTAAACCCTAAACCCCAAAGCCTAAACCCTAAAACCCCAAAC